GTGCTGTAGAGTACCAGGAACTATCTTTTCATGTCTAATACCGTGTTCTGAGTAGTCTTTAAACACTTTAGACGTATATTCCCCTCCATTGTCAATTCGGAGAGACTTCAAAAGCTCTCTACTTTCTCGTTCTACCATGACTTGAAAAACTCTTTGAAGTACTGAAAAACTTGATCTTTTGATCTCAAAAAAAAAAAACACCCACAACTTTCGTGAAGCATCATTAATAAAAGTAAGAAAATACTTATTACTACCTAAGGACTTCACCTCAATAGGACCACAAACATCAAAATAAATCAAATCTAAAATACTAGATTTTCTACTAGAGGATTTCTGAAAGGATACTCTATGTTGTTTGCCAAATAAACAATAATCACAAGAATTTAATGATGTACCTTTGGTAAAAGGAAAGAGAGACTTCTTTGCCAAAATCTTTAATCCTTTCTCGTTTATGTGACCCACCCGCTTGTGCCACAAGTCTGCGAAGAATCACTTTCAATTGCATTTACCGCTTCACTGCAAACCTTTACTTGTGTCTTGTAAAGTGTGCAACAAACCTTTCATCTAGCAAATACCATTGACCTTTTTGTTAGTTTCCATCTTCCACTGCCAAAATAATTGTCATACCCTACTTCATCAAATGCATGTATAGATAGTAAATTCAAGCGCATGTCAAGAACATGTCGCACATTCTTCAATGTCAAAATGCATCCAATATATGTTTGAAGACAATTATCACCAATTCCCGCAATACTGGCAAAACTGTCATTACCCATCTTCACTTTGCCAAAATTACCTGATTTGTATGAAGTGAAGAATTCCCGTCTTGGAGTAACATGGTAAGAAGTCGCTGAGTCAATAACCCATTCAACAAATGAATTTGCAACATGACAACACTGTTCATTTTCAGCAGAAAAAATTGCTACCACTACTTTTTCATCTGAAACGTTAGCTGTTGTATTCTAATCGGTCTTCTTCTGATTTTTTTCCTCTTTCAATTTATTTCCCCAAGCCATGCAATGTTTCTTTATATGACACTCTTTGTCACAATAAAATCATTTGACATTTCCCCTTGTCTTTGACTGACTTCTGAAGTTACCACGTCCCTTAGAACCTCTGATTTTATTCCTACCTCTGTTCTCTGTAATAAAAGTCTGTGCATCATTCCTACCCAAATCTTTCCTTCGTACTTCTTCATTAAACAAGCTGTCTTTAACTAGAGTAAGTTCAAGCACACCTAGGATTGGGCAAATCTCCCGAACTGAATCGATCGAACCGAACCTGACGGTTCTTGTCAAATTAAATACCCGAACGGGTATCTGAATTGAGAACTGACGAGTACGGTTTGATTCTCGGTTCTAAACCAAGAACCGAAGAACCGAATAAGAACCGAATTTTTCTAATTTTTTTTTTATATTGAGTAGATCAAATTATTTTAATTTTAATTTTTCTAAACAAATTAATAATTTCTAAATTTTTGGCCCAATAATTTGTTTCATTTCTAATTTTTTAATTTTTGGCCCTATTACCCATTTTATTGTTTCATTTCTTAGCCCAACAAGATACAATCCACTAAATAACTCTAAACACCTGCACTAAAGTGCATAACGTTATCTCGACTCTAGTAGACTCGCTGACATTTCAAAACCTATACAATCGTCGGCCGATGCTATGACCTCTAATTGAAGTTGCGACCTCGCCGACCGAAACTTTAACCATATCGATCATTTGAACAAGGTAGTCTACTAGTCTATAGCATTCCAAAACCATTGAATGTATCATTAATTGTATTTATATAATGTTGTTATAAATGTTAAAAAATTTAATTATAGTACAGAACAACTATCAAGCAATGAACTCAAAAGTAATAGTGCTTGCATATCATCATCTAGCACTATTTTCATTGTGGTTAGCTGATTTATCAAGTCTTGGAATTCACTAAAATGCTCAGCAACTAATTTTTCATCTTTTAGCTTCAAATTCACAAGGTTTCTAATAGTAAAAACTTTATTTTGAACAGTCTTCCTCTCATAGAGACTCTCCAATTTTTCCCAAAGACTATGTGCATCTGTCAATTGAGATATATGATGGAATACATTAATGTCAACCACTGTCTAATATATCCAATGGCTTTCTTATTCATTTTCTTCCAATCACCGTCACTCACATTGATTGGCTTAGCACTATCACTTTCAATAGGCTCATGTAAATCCTTACAATATAGGATATCCTCCATCATAGGTTTCCAAATAGAATAATTTGAAGCCGGCAATTTAATCATAGTGCCCGAAGTATTTTCCATTTATTCCGCAATAAAATCACACCCACACAACCTGAGCTTATCTCTATCTAAACGAATAAGTCTTCCAGTGGTCTCTCTCCTACCCAAAACCCTGATACCACTTTGTTGGGCAATTTCAATTATTGCAAAAATAAATTTACCAATCCAAACAATTAACTAGAACGATTAACTATGCAAATAAATAATCCAAGCAAAATAAGAAAACGCAACACAAATTTTTACGTGGAAAAAAACCCTCCAGAATAGAGGGAAAAAAACCACGAGGCATCTCCAGCCAAAAATCCACTATAATAATTAATATAGATTATAATATTCAAGTTTATGCCCCAAAACTTGAATTCTCCACAAATTGGAAATACCACGATAATCTATCTCTAAAACAACAATTATCTCACCACAAATTACCAAATTGATTAACCTTGTGAGAACCCACTTTGAATACTAATCCAAAATATATCTTAGAGAAAGTTCCAATTTGTATTATGTAGAGAAGAAAGAAAAATAACGTGTGTGAATCCACACCCAAAATTGAAGAAAAATCTTTTTTCTTCCTACACGTGCACAACTGGTTTTCCTTCAGTAGCAATGGCTTCTGTTTCTCTCAATTAAAACCAAGGTCAATCCTCACAACCCTATAGCCGCCATTTTTTACCATTGAATTTGTCTCTCTCTCATTCACAAATTATTGACAACAGAATTTCTTTTTGTCGCTCACAATTCACGTCTCAGATTTTTGTATCTCTCTCTCTCTCTCACGTCTCACAGCCACAATTGCTGACCATTATATATGTTTGACCTAATTGCAAATAATATAAGACTTGGGCCAATAATTCTCATAGTGGGCTGGACCAATACATAACACAATCCATACCTAATTGTAGTCTCATCCTCGCTTGAATTACACTATCAACTAATCCGTTCGTGCCATAATTTTCAGCAGAGGAAATTGAACTTTTCCTTTTTGTATTGAATGATGCCATATGAAGTTTAAAGATATTCATTTAGTATTGACGTCCCTTGAGAGAATTTCATGTATCCTTAGTATAAAAATTCCCATCCCTGAATGGCTGAATCCTTCCAAATAAAAGCATCTTCTAGTGTGTTACCCTTCTATCGTTTAGTGAACTATCGTGTCAAGAACGTGTTTTTAAGTTGCCTTGACTAGAGAATTTTTGTAAAAAGTGAAAACTTAAACTTCACGCTATTCTTTATCTCTAAAAATAAAATATTCTGACCATTCAATTATCATTACATCACAGTCATTCATTCATTTAGTCGTGAATTATACACGTTTCGTTGAATCATCCAATTCAAAATACCTTTCATGGTAAATGGTCCAATAAACACTACTTTTTCCTCGTGCAAACGTATAGAATTATTAGAACCCATTTGTGATGCTGGAATTGGCCGAAATGGCTGGGTATGGTGAGGGTAACACTGTCCCAAATTGAGGAAAATGATTGGTCATTTCTTGGTTGACTAAATCAATTCCCACGCAATTTCTTGTTCACACTCATGTCTTCTATGTTTTGAGATATCCAATATATAGTAGATGATAAAAGATGATAACTTTGAACAAAAAATAGTAGGACAAATAGATTCCCCTTTTAGAAGTGGTTGCCATTGCTCAAAAACATCTTCTTTTTTCTTTAATAGGTATTGTTGCAGTCAAAGTCTATCGGAATGTTAAATCAAAAGTTTTCAAAAAAAGAATTACGAGAATCTCAACTTGCGCCTACCGAAAAAGTGTGGAAAAATCCCTAAAGGACATTTCAATGTAATCGAACTCGTAAAATTTGTAGAGGAATATTTAGGAGTGTATATTTTGTGACATTTAGATTGTACCTAAAAGTTTACGGGATATTTTAAAAGTGTTCGTGCTAAGTCCATTGTAATGTAATATGATGGCAAAATTGCATAATCTATTTTTAATTAGACAACCGTATGAGACATATAAAGTCTAATGTGGACTGTATGTTTTTATTATTACTTTTGAACAATTTAATTTGATTAACATAATTTTTATGAAGTTACTTCTTTAAAAAATAAAACAAATAGTAACTGTTAAGCACAACTAAATATGCTTTAATAAATAAAAAGGAGAAGAAAAACCAAAGGAATTTTTTGTTGTTAAGAGTTAAGAAAAGAAAATGTAGAAAACACGAGGAAAAAAAATCGAGGAAAGGAAATACAAGAAAAGATGGAAAGTTTCCATGGGTAAATGATGAATTCTTGTATTTAATTATTCATATTAAGGAAGAATTTAAGAAAAAAGTTGGGAGAGTAAATAAGAAAATTGATTCTCTCTCCTTTGCAATTAGGGAGCGTATCTTACTTTTTAACTTAACAAACACAAACTAAAGAGGTGTTTTCAATCGAGATTGTAATGAATTTTAAAAGTCATTTTAAATTTAAGTGTCTTCAATTGAAATTGCATTGGGTTTTAATGAAATCCATTAAAATTTAGGTGTTCCCAATTAAGATTTTAATAAAATCTTAAAATTTAGGTATCCTCAATAATTACCATATTTGATGAGATTTTTATGAAATTTGTAGGAATCTATTTAAATCCACGAATTCGTTAGAGTTTATAATCCTTTAAATTTCATTAAAATCTTAGTCGGGACCACCCATCAATACCAGATTTAAGGTTAAAATTATATGTTTTTCAGCATCTCTCTGTATATATACACACCTTCAGAATACAGACATGGAACACACTTAAAGGATCAAGATGGAAGCTAGGAAAAGTACTCCATCAAAATCTTATAAACTTTTCTATCAAGTGTACCCTCTTTTGCTGCTTCTTCTTCCATTGATCTTAAAATCTGTTTCTGCAGTCCCATATAAAATTCCAAGGCTCACTCCACATATAAGAACAATCTTAAGAAACCCTGATAGTAATTTATCTTCTTCTTTCCTTTCGAAGGATTTCAAAACATATTTTTACACGCAAATTCTTGATCACTTCAACTATGGACCCCAAAGTTATGCCACCTTCAAACAAAGATATATAATCAATTTCAAATACTGGGGTGGTGGAAATTCAAGCTCTCCAATCTTCGCATATCTTGGTGCAGAAGCACCATTGGATGAAGATCTACAAAGTGTTGGTTATCTAACTGCAAATGCCCCTCATTTCAAGGCTCTTCAAGTATATATAGAGGTAATATATGTTTGTACAATTCAGTATTTTGAACAAGATTTCAACTTCTTTTGATTCATTAATATGGCAATTAATCAAAAATAAGGAAGAAAAAGAACTAAATTTTTCGAGCAAGATTATAGTACACTACTATAAATATGTGGATACTGTTTCTTATATTATATTAGACAATATTTTGAATATTATTCTAACTTATTTTGTTTTTCTGAAGCATCGGTATTATGGAAAATCAATCCCATTCGGATCAATGGAAGAAGCCATGAAAAATGAGAGCATTAGAGGATATTTCAACTCAGCCCAAGCTATAGCTGATTATGCAGAGGTGCTATTGCACATAAAGGAAAAGCTTTCGGCTCAGGATTCTCCCATAATTGTGATTGGAGGATCATATGGAGGAAGTAAGCAAATCATGAATTATTCAATACCATCATCCATTTATTTTAATTAATTACAAATTTGAGTTTTATTAAATTTGTGGTAAATTTACGTATAATTCAAATTATCCTATTATTTTCAGTGCTGGCTTCATGGTTTAGGCTCAAGTATCCACACATTGCTATCGGTGCTTTAGCTTCATCAGCCCCTGTTCTTTACTTCGATGATATAACTCCACAAAATGGATATTACTCAAAAGTAACCAAGGATTTTGAGGTATTAATAAACTATAAAAACCCAATTTTTTAGATTTTTTTCAAGATTGAAAAAAATTATACCTCTTTTTTCTTTTTTCTTTTTTTTTTTTTTT